AAGCACTGTGCCTGGATCCCCATCCACAGCAGCTTCACCTTGAGGGTGACTCCAGCTGGGAGGTTCCAACCCCTGTTCCTACCCCTTTCTATACTGGAACTGGTGAATCCCAGACAAGTAGGCTGACTCCTGCCCTCCTTCCCTCCTCTCCTTCCCTCCCTGAGTGCTTCCAGCTCCGGGAACAGCAGGACTGTGCCTGCAGACAGCTGCCGTGCCACGATGACTGAGGCTGCGATGCCACCTGCTGCTGACCCTTGGGGACACACAACGGATACATCTTTCCCATCTCTGTTTTTTTGGGACCAGGACAGCTTAGTCTCATCCCCAAAATTCCCAAGGCATCTCCCCACCTATGGTTTTGATGACAGCCTCCTGGAACATCCTCTCCTCGTGCTCCTTGATGATCTTGGTGCCGACCCCAGCGCTGCAGTCGTAGCTCCCAGTCAGGGCGTAGTCAATGCTGAGCCTCAGCTGCCTCAGCAAGGTGTTGAACACCTCCAGCACTGTGGGGCCTGGGCAGGAGAGAGAAAATGAGGAATTTTCCCCAGAATAATGTGGTTTATCCATTCCATCATCCCCTAAGTAGGTTGGGAGAGAGTTTGGCCAAGCACAGGATGAGCTTTAAGCCTCCCACTGAGAAGACAGGAGGGAAATGTCCTTCCAGGGCATCATCAGCTCAGTATATTCACAGCAAATCCCTAAAAATCCCTTTCCTGAAGGGAATGGTTGGCATTGCATCCAGCCCCCTAGTTCAGGTCACTGCACATGGCCACAAGGATTGAGTTTGGGAGCACTGGAATGGCACAGCACCAATCCACAGCATCCATGGATGCTCCAGAGTGGATTCCCACCACCAGATCCCAACCCCCAAGTGCCTCTTCCCCATTCCCAAGTGCTAAGAGGACGAAGAGGATGGATTTATCCCCTTTACCAACAGATCCAGAGGCTGCAATCACAGCTGCTTCTGAGAGGACCTCCACGATTCCAGCTCGTACTGCGGCCGCGCTCTTGCTGTTGGCATCCAGGTGCCCCAGGAGCTGCTGGATCACCAGGTGGGAATGCTGAGGCTGGAAAGAGAGTGGGAATGGCAGTGTGGGTGCTGCATGCATGGTGACAGCCTGTTTCTGTGAGCCACGTGGCTACCAGGCATGAATTCTGCTGGTACATCCAAGCCAGGCTCCTCCCAAGCTTCTGGATGCAAGATGAGAGGAGGCACCTAGAGGAAGCTTCTTTTAGATAACTGAGTAAAAGTTTGTGAGCAATTTTCGAGGGAAAATATAATCCAAAGAGCTGTCTAGATCTCAGGAAGGGATTTCAGGGGGAAAGGATTTGCTTCCTGCCAGGATTTTCCCAACACAGGGAACCTACTTCCAAAGGGTTATTGTGCCCTTCCACCTCCAAAGTGCTGTGCAGGGATTTAGGCAGTTTATAGGATTAAAAACATGGAATGAGAGCAGGGGGAGGTGATCTGCTTTGCACTGTACGAGTTTTCCAAGCAGAGCACAGCTTGGCTGAGTCCAGAGGGATGAAAAGGGATAACAGGTCTGGGACAGCCTCAGCAGGGTGGGAACACTATGCCCAACAGCCTGCAGGGATCCAGGCAAATGAAGTTTCATTGAGATGCACATTGAAAAATCTCTCAAAAAAAAAAACCCAAACAGCTCCTGAGAGAGTTGGGACTGTCCAGCATAGAGAAGAGAAGCTCCAGGGAGACCTCAGAGCCCCTTCCAGTGCCTCAAGGGGCTCCAGGAGAGATCCAGAGGGACTTGGGCCAATGGATAGAGGGACAGGACACAGGAAATGGCTTCCCACTGCCAGAGGGCAGGGCTGGTGGGATATTGGGAGGGAATTCCTGGTTGTGAGGGTGGTGAGGCACTGGCACAGGTTGTCCAGAGCAGCTGTGGCTGCTCCATCCCTGGGAGTGTTCCAGGCCAGGTTGGATGGGGCTTGGATCAACCTGGGCTGGTGGGAGGTGTCCCTGCCCATGGCAGGAGATGCAACGAGATGGTCCTTAAGGTTCCTTTCCCACCCAAACCATTCCAGGACTCTGTGACACACAGAAAGAAAGGATGAACCTTTTCCCAACACTTTGGGGTTTACTTACACTGAACTTCCATGGCCCTCAGGGAGAAGGGAAGAAGGGCTGAGCATTCCCATATCCCAGCACAGGTATACTGGGCTGCCTGGTGTCCCCAGAACACATTTCACCACAGGCAGCCTCTCCCTCCCTCCCTGCATCCTCAAAACCCCACACAGCCTAGAAAACCAACCCCCCACTGTACACCCCTACCCATTCCCAGCACATCTGGGGACACATCTGGGGACATATCTGGGGACACTTCTGGTGCCCCTGAGCCACTAGGATTCCCACATTGGGATGCAGGAATTCTGTGGTTGCTCTGACTCGGCATCCACACGTGTTCCCAGGCAGTACCACCACCCAGAGTTCCACCAGCTCCTCACCTGGATGGAATACATGATGATCCTGAAGCAGCCAGTGGCAAAGATCTTGGGTTCCCACAGCGAGTGGTTATCCAGGTGGCTGGGGAAGAGGTGGAAAGAGAGGGAAAGGTAACTCTTGGGATAACCTGCAAGGTTTGGGTGGGGGCAACAGGGACATCCAGAAAAAGCAGGGAGCAAACACTGTGGGAGGGCAGGACACAAACTCCTCTCCAGGGTAACTTTTCTCATCTATCCCATGCAGAAGGGAGAGCTCAGCCTGAATCCCAGCCCAGAGCTAAGCAGGGAAATAGCCCATTCCTCCCCACTGGCTGCTTCCCTGTGCCTCAGTTTCCCTTGGACAAAGCGAAGAGGGATGCAGGACTCACATGAGGACAGGTTTGATGGCATTCTTGATGTTGCCATAGGCTGCTCGGCCCAGCAGCTCTCTCAGGCACCTCTCCGCCAGCTCTGCTGGACTCTCCTTCTCCTTCTCCGTGGCTTGGAGCGGGGAAGGGGAGCGGCTGTGGAAGCAGAGGAAGGCCAGGAATGAGTGGCAGGAGCAGAGGGAAGAGGCACAGAGCCAAGGAGAGGGAAAATGAGGTGGCATCTGTCTGCACCCTGTGCGGCACAGCCACCCTGCAGCAGCCACGTGTCCCCATGCCAGGCAGATGGGACAGCTCCAGCCCGGGATAAAGTGCTGCTGGATCAGAGCCAGAGCAGATTGCAGAGGAGGGGGATGTGCCAGGAGGGCCCTGCTGGGAACAGCAGGCTGTGCCAGGCTGCAGGGACAGCCCCCTTGTCCTTGGGATGATCGTGGTGCTCAGGGCAGGAGGGGGAAGGATGTTATCCACGAGGACACGATGTTCTCCCAGGGCTAACACAGCTTCCCAGGGGAGGAAGAGGAAAACAGTCACAGCCTGGCATATGTCACCCTGAAAACACAGAAATCCATCCCTTTTTTCCACACTGGGATTGTTTATTACAGAAGGATTTAGATTGAAAAAGATCTCTAAGATCAAGTGGAACCATTCCCCAGCACTGCCAAGGTCACCACTGACCACGTCCTCAAGTGCCACATCCACACACTGTTAAATCCCTCCAGAGATGGTGACTCCACCCCTGCCCTGGGCAGCTGTGCCAGGGCTGGACAGCCCTTTCCATGAGGAAATAATTCCCAATATCCAACCTAAACCTCCCCTTGTGCAACTTGAGGCTCTTTTCCCTTGTCCTGTCCCTTGTTCCCTGGGAGCAGAGCCTGACCCCACCTGGCTGCACCTTCTGTCAGGGAGTTGCAGAGAGCTGAAGGTCCTCCCTGAGCCTCCTTTTCTCCAGGCTGAGCCCCCACAGCTCCCTCAGCCCCTCCGGCTACTCTAGCCCCTTTCCCTAGCTCCTTTCCCTTCCTGCTAGTTTCCCCTTGATTTACAAGAGAGAGGGAAAGGCATCTGTCCAGCAGCAATTTCCCTGGGCTGATATACCTCTTACCCTTTCAG